ATCCCTTTTAGTCAAATAAATTACATTACTTATGACAAATATAACTTTATATTATATCTCCCCCTGTCTCTCATTTTTTACTTACTTATGACAAATAATTTTAAAATTTAGTCTTCCATCAAAATTAGAGTACTGCAAGTTCTCTATGCATAATTATATATATAATTATTTATTTATCTGTAAAGAATAATTTAATTATTATTTTAATAATAGGTCATACATAAAAGTGAGAAAATTTAATTATAGGCAATTATTGTAGTTATGGAAGGAAAAGATTTTTCACCTCCAAGCTACGTTACTTCATATGTGTGTGTGTATGTCTGTTTATGTGTGTGTGTCAATATTATGACACGAATGCAAACTCTGGGGTGTTGTAGAAAATAATATAAAATTTTCTTATCCAAAGAATTATGTTACTTACAAAGGAAGAAAATAACAAAAAAGATCAAAAAAAAATTGATAATTAGAATGAAAATTCACGCTAAATAATTATTTATAAAAATGAATCGTCATAAAAAATAATTATATTTTGTTGTTTGAGTTATATTCATAAGGATTAACAAATTAATTTAAAATTTATTTGGCCATGAAAATTGGAGGGCAATATTCCAATGCATAATAATATATTTATTTTTGTATAATAAAATATTATAATTATTATTTCAATGAGTGATCATATGTAGAAGGTGACATAACTTATTTCTCGTATTTAATGTATTTTCTAAAAGACTTTTTCCCTCAAAGTTATTTCACTTTTTTATTTGTATATATATATATATATATTCAAATATAAATTCAAAATAAATAATTTCGTACGATATTAAGTCTTTATTTGTAACAATGTCACTAACGAAGGGAGAGAGAGAGAGAGAGAGAGAGAGAGAGAGAGAGAGAGAGAGAGAGAGAGAGAGAGAGAGAGAGAGAGAGACCAATGGAAAGTTTAAATGTAAATTCACAATATGTAATTAATTGTAAAATAAGTCTCTAATTGTAACAAATAATTACATTTATTGTATGTATGATAAATAATTCATAGAAGTTAACAAAATGTTAAGTAATAGATATAGTTGAAGCCAATTATTTATACATGAAAATTGAAGTGCACTTTTCCAATGCATAATTAAGAATAACATTTAAACATTTATTTGTAACAAACTTTTTTTGCATATATTATTTTAATGTGTATTCACAAATTCCTAAGATTGCAATTAATATATAAAGATTAAAGTTAATTAAACTACAGTACAATAAATGTTAAGACAATATCTCAAATAATGTGAAAGTAAATTATCTTACCATTAATACAGTAATTAATGCAGCAGGTTTGAGCGGGAAAATTCCAGCTGCTCTGCTTTAATATATATATAGATTACGAAAGATGTTTTAGAGACTTCTTTTTAAATTGGAGTCCAAAATGTATATTTAAGATCTCAATAGTGAACTTCAGTAGTGTCTGGGTAGCAGTAGAATAGTTTACAACAAGAAATTATCAGGAAGACCTTTCAATCTTAGGAAATTGAAGATGCATTCTTCCTTGAGCAGGCATAAGAGTACATTTCCCTTTTTTTATCTTTTTTTTTTCAAGCTTTATTTTGTGACGAAAAATGTACTCTTTTGCTCGGTTCTCATTCATTTGTGGTAGCATCTTCGGTTGGCGCAGGAGTTCCATCTGCATAGAAATTAACTGGATTTAGTTACCCATATCTGAGAGGGACAACACATTCAAACGATTTCGCAAGTACTGCTTTAGGAAAACTAAGTTCAAAATCAAAGTTCCACGGCACAAATATTAGTATTATGAATCTATGATAAAATCTACAAAAGTTTTGGCTTAATCTACTAGTTATCCTTCAAAGCAAAAAAGATAAAGGTGACGAATAAGAAAATGAATAAAAGAAAAGGAAGACGCCACAATTATCTTACAAAACCAGTTATAACTTGGACAGAAAATAATTCAACGTGTTCAATAAAATCTATTAGAATTCAGAATGCAACCTGCATCAGCTGCACCCAATAACAAAAAGAAGCACAGTTACCTGTAATTTTGGTCGGAGAGCCTCAAGTGGTCCTTTGGGCTTCTCTACACCTTGCTGACTGAAAATAAAATAATAAATAAAATAAAATAAAATAAAATAATCTTAGAAACCACAATTATGCCTACATACGAATCTTTCAAAAAAGTAGAATATGATTAATAAACTGGATATACTTATTTTTGTTGTTGTTGTTTTTATTTATTTATAGGTATTTGCACAAAAAATTGAAAGAATCTGGCAGAGAAATAAATATGGATTGATGTGCCTGCTATCACTCCAAAGCAAAGGTAACAGTAGAGAACATGCAACGAACTACATTCAAGAAAGACTGACAAAAGGGAGATTTGAAGCTTTCTTGCACCATATCTGAGCCGCCAGTAAGTAACTTCACTTTCTCATTTCTTGTTGTCCCGTACAAATAAGTATAAACTAACAGCACAAAATGTTTTCTTCTTTTTGAAATTTTAGGGATCATTGGCAGTTGATTGTACTTTGCCCTAAACAGAATATGGTGGTTTGCTTCTGTTCCTTGTCAAAAAAGCTTAAGAGTGATATAGTCCAAAAAAT